TACTCTTGAGTTCTGGCAGATAACATTTACTGAATTAAGGATGTGTCCTAGTTTTACATGAGTTCATTTTATAAATGGGTATTGAATAAATTAAAAGATGTTTTGGCGTCTCTTGAAAATTTTTATATGAATTCCTTTTTTAATCTCTTCTGAGTTACATTGCTTCGTATTTTGTCTAATGCTGAAGATGGAGTGTTAGGAACAAACTTTGCTTGTCCTATTTTTAATAGACACAAATTCTTTATTGAAATACTTTATATGATTCTACTTTAAAATATTTTCCCATTTATATTAATACATGATGGTTGCCTATTGTTTTGATTGAGGACTGTTTTTATCAGGTCTATGCCTTGTGAAATGAATCATGTGTGTGTATATCTATATCTATATCTATATATATATTCTAAAATAGTTGTATAAGAAACAAACTATTTGTTCCTTAGCGGTTTGGTAGCAACGGCATATAAATTACTTGGGCCTAGTGGGGGCAGGGAGGGAAAAATGACATCTCAATTTCTTTTACTCAGCTTTTCTACAATTTACAAATTTGTATCTTGCAAAGAAGACTTTGTCTCTCACACTTTGCACATGTTATCAGGAGAGACCAGTCCCTAGTGGCGGACATCATGATTGGTAAAGCAGGGATGTCTAAGTAGTGTTGGGACAGTTGATGCAGTCGGCTGTAGTAGCAAAAGAATAATAACAAACAAAACAAAACCCACAAAGACGCACACCAAAAACAAGGCTGAGTTACTCTCCCTGCTGCCTACCGCTGCCAATGCGCAAGCGCGCGCACGCGCGCACACACACACACACACACACACACACACACACACACTAGACCCAGCTGTTACTTTCTCTTTCTTATTCACCAGTGCATGCTTGCCAGGGGCCCGTCCTGTGTCCCCATAAGAAGACTGAGGATTTGGGTACAACAGTGTGAGAGTTGGTGATTTCGTGTTGCTGTCCCTTGTCCCAATACTTGTGGTTTCTCCAAACAACAGCCGAATAAGGGGGAATAAAAACAACCAAACAGAGAAACGCCACAGTCCAAAGGGAGAACTAGCTGCTGGGTTTTCTCAACACGTCCTTCCTTAGGCTGACCGCTGTGGTTTCCAGGGCTGGTTCAGCCCTTAAGTTCTGTGTCTGCGTCTTCAAGCCCGAATCCAGAGGGACG